GAAGACGTGTCCCTGGACCCAGGCGGCTGTAGAGCAAGCAACTTCCTTCAGGAAAACAGCAGGTCCCCCTCCAACACACAAGCAAGCGTCTGAAGTGTCAGAGGCCTCATGTTTACGTGCGGGCTCGTTAACAGCAGCCACAAACCTCCTGATCCAGGCCCGGCTACTGGCTGATGGCTGAGGACTGGCCGTGGCTGGGCCGAGGGGCAGATGGCTGAGGGCGCTGTCCAGGACATGCTTGCTAACCGTTGTCCACCTGTCTGACCAGTCTCTATGCAGGACGACGCTTTTCATTTTGCTAAGCCACAACCACGGAGACCTGGCAACAACGGCCACGAGCTTCGTGAGCACCACACACATCAAACACCACACCGAATGATTTGCAGATGAACACGGAGCTCTTAGCCCCCGTTACAGACAAGAAGACTCGGTCCCGGGACATCAGTGGAGGCAGGACCCCAGTCAGGTGAGCCTAGAGCTAGGGGTCCCCACCACTCGCCATCTTTCACAGGAATGTGCCCTCTGGACCATCTCCACTGGCTACAACGTCACGCCATGAATAGTGAGCGGTTAAGTGACACACCCAATAGGAGGAATTGAGACAGCATGACCTCAGCGAGGGCGAACGTGGTGACATCCGCTACCAACGCGCCCCCGCAACGTCCATCCAGGAAGACCCAACATTTGTACTTGAGAATACTTAAAAAGAGCCACCTGAGAGGTATCCCAGCACCATCACGGTAACAAGACATTGGGCACACACCAGTCACTGATATCCCTTATAAGCTCTGCCCCCGAAAGGGAACAGCCTGCAGCCCAGGGCCCATCCGCCATCATGAGCCTTCTAACAGGACAGGTCCTGACGCCCAGACCTGCCTCTGGCCCCACTCGCCCTGTCCAGCCTCGGGCAGACGCTCAGGGGGCACAGAACACCCACTCCATGGGCTTCCCTGTCCCGCACAAAGGTTCAAGCCTCTGAGGGGTCTCCCCTCCCCTCAGCCAAGACCCCGTTGTCAGTGCCTCCCGTGAAATGTCCCAAGAGCTCAGTCCTCTGGACCTTATACCTTCTACGGGACAGGTAGAAAGCCAGCTCCCAAAGGTAGCCCTGTGGCTCCACTAACAAGGACCCAGAACGTCTGCCGAGTAACGCTCATGCAGAGACCCACAGGGCCTGCCTCGGTCAGGCAGGAGTGCACGTATTAACAAAGATCTGCGGATTAACGTGTTAACTAAAATAAACTGGTAAAACCCAACCTGGAAGCACTCCATCCAGGGGCACCTGGGGGACTCAGTCAGTTAAGCATCCGACTCTTGATTTCAGCTCAGGTCATGATCTCGAAATTCATGGGTTCAAGCCCCATGTCAAGTTCTGTGCTGTCAGCACAGAGCCTGCTTGGGATTCTCTCTCTCCCTGTCTCTCTGCCCCTCCCCGACTTGTTCCTCCCCCTCTCTCCCTCTCTCCCTCTCTCTCTCAAAATAAATAAAAATAAACTTTAAAAAAAGAAAAAAAAAGGAACTCCATCCGGACTCAGCCTGTGCCTCCTGGAAGTAATCTGGCTCAGTAACCTGACCTTCTGGGGTTTAAGCTTTGTTAGAAGCAGGGTGGCCCTCCCACCACATGGTGAGCATCTGGGGTCTCAGGGTCCCCAACGCACAGTGGTGCCCACGTCACTAGCCAAGCCGAGCCTCCCTCCTTCTGAGACTTCGGACTTGGAATATTTGACTTGTACGGATTTCTAATAAAACCGAGATTTTTTTTCTGCTTGAATCTGTGAAGCTGTCCAGCACTGAGCCTCCCACCTACCCTATCGCCTTGCAGACCCAAGAATGTGTGTGGAGACTGACCCCGTGTGACAGTGGACAGTGATCAAAAAATGTTATACTGGTACAGAGTGATCTCACTTTCAACGGAGGGTGGGAAGTTCTGCAAAACGCCCGAGGTCTCCAGGCCAGCGAGGATGGTCTGCTAAGCCCTGGTTTCCCTGGAAACCACAACTCTCCTGGCATTCCCACCTTTGTGGAAATTTCCATAAGATTCTCCAAGTCCCAGTGGACACTTTCTCCCCAGGCCTATAGAGAGGTCTGCGGCTGGAAAGCAGTTGAGAATACAGTCTTCTTCTGGAAACACAGAATGCTCCGTCAGCAGAGGAGGGACCCTGCCACCTCCCCGGGGCCACACTCAACCCCCAAATGCAGTCAGACCAAGGAACAGAGTGGCCAACACTCAGGGTCAAGGCTGAGGGCCAAGGCTCCACCTCCCACCCAGGTGGCCCACCGGTGGCAGATGAGCGGGAGGGGACAGCAGGCGGCCTGTGCGGGCCAACAGTGTGACCCCACTTGGGTTAGCCAAGGCCACGCAGGGGACTGGAGCAAGGCCATGAAGCCCCGGACCCCAGCCTGCTGCTGGGGGGGGGGGGGGCAAGAGGTCACACGGGGCCCCACAGCCCCCAGCACCGGCCCCACAGCAGATGCCATCTGAGGACACAGAGGGCTTGGCAGTCGAGCCCAAGAGAAAACAGCTCACAAAAAGTGAGCCAGTCAAGTGAGCCCAGACTTCACGGGCTCAGCCCCGTGGCCGTCACCGGCATTTTCCACCCGGCCTATTTTAAATGCAATTTCATCCTGGCAACTTAAAGTGGCTTTCAGATGTTGGAAAGGTTAAGCAATCTGTACCCCCAAACTCTCATCTCCAAGGCAGAGACCCCTTTCAGCCTGAGTGGGGCAGCTCCGGAACCCTCTCAACCTGGCCTGGCCTCAGTCTCCCCACCAGTGAGAATGGGCACCTCCCAGGCTCCCAGGGACACATCCGAGACCCACACACTGTAGACACAAAATAAACCCCACCCCCAGCTGCAGCCAGAGAGGCCACCCTAAGGAGATCCCCCTGAAGGACTCCCATTGAGCGCGGGGGACACACCCCTGAAAGGTGGCCTAAGCCTTTTCTGTGGCTCACATCCGCTTTGAGAAAGTCATGGAAACTCCAGACCTTCTATCTCGAAAACCCTCTCACACAAAAACGCCCCCGCTGTCAGGGTGCACAGAACGTCCGAACCCTGAGGCTCCAGCCTGAGGAATGAGGAGGGGCAGGCAGTGGGGAGGAGAGGAGGGGGGTGAGGAAAATCTGTGGGCCTCCTGCAGCTGAGTCTGACCCCTTTCCCACCCCACACGCCCAGGTCCTCAACACAGGGCCCCACCCAGTCCTGACAACACGGTCAGGTCCCCGGCAACCTCACCCTGGACCCACGTGCAGCCTGGGCTGCTCACCCGAATCTGGGTGGGCCGTCACATGGGGCAGGTCAGCCGGGGCTGGCTGTCTATCTCGCTACGAGCAGAGGAAGGGACCCTCCAGGGGCGTCAGGGCTGGGGGGGAGGGGTGCAAGCTGTTTCTGCCCAGGAGGGCCCACACCTCAGCCGGTGTCGGATTCCCCCTGATGCAGGAAAGGCTCCTGTCTCCAGAAGCAGGTCTCAAAAAGCTCACACCAGGAAGGAGTGATGGCCATAGCTCTGGTCCCAGAGGCGTGTCTTCGGAGAAAGCCCCTTCCACAGACGGAAGAGGAGGAACCTGCCTGAGGCCCACCAAGCCGGGAGGCCACAGGGCGGCCACCCTCCCTCCCCACCTCTGAGAACCACTGCCCCCAGGATCCCCTGGGACACCCAGAGGGGCTGGCACACCTCCAACTTCCAGAAGCCAGGCTGTGGTGGCAAAAGGAGAAGAAATGTGGCCCCAGGGGGCTCAGGGCTGCCCCAGGCCCGAGGACTCCTTTCTGGCCGGGACAGACTGTATAGGCCTTGTGCCTGCCCTCCACTGGCTTCCCCAGGCCCACTCAGTGCCAGGCAGGGAAGAGGGGCTTGGACTTCATTTAATTAATGAATCAACAAACCAAATGACACTCAGATACGGGCCAGTCCTTGCGCCGGGCAAGGGGATGCGAGGGTTGCCGCACCGTCGAGTAACTTGGGCCTCGAGCAGGAGACCAGCACCAGGGTGGGGCTGGACCCCAAGCACAGGCACAGGGACGGGGGAGAACTCCACACCTGGGGGCCTGGGGGCTGAGTAGGAGCTACAAAAGCAGGCAGAAGACACGTCACCATC